TCTCATTTTGAATTGTTTTTCCAAGGTGGTGGTGTGTGTACATTTCTTGGGTGGTGACTCTTCTTCGATGCTCCTAGAGTACTGCACCAAACTCAGCCATCAGCGCCACAGTTTTAAGGAAGTTTCCACTGTCTGGCACATACAGCTGATCTGCAGTGCCACGCAGGGCTAGGTTTTGGGTAGCAAGCATTCTCACAATGGCAATGAGCCTTTTCAGAACATTTTGCCAGTAAAGTTGTCAAATCTTCTCTTGATGCTGATCATCTGTGGTGACCTTTAACCTTAGTCTCATCTCAAGCTCTTTCCGCCTGTGGAATGCTCTCTGGTGATTTGCTGCCTTCTCATGGCATGCCAGATTTCTTGCCAGATTTTTCCAGTCCTTTGTTCCTGTAGAACCCAATGTGGCTGGAACATTAGACTGGAAGAGTTTGCAACAAAGACAGTATGCAGCATTCTGGGTTTTTGAGAACATAAGCCATGGCCTCTTCACTTTGTCACCACTTGGGATTTCACACCGGTAATGTGTTGGATGGAAACTTCGATTTTCATTGTCTTTGGGGAACATGAAGTTTTTCACTTGCTGTGGCCCATGCAGTACAAGGAAGTCCCTCAGGCTACTGCTCAAGTGGGTCCACAGTCCTGGATCCTCTAGACGTAAGGAACTAAACTCAGCAGCAGCTGTTTCTTGCGCCTCCACCACACTCTTCTCTGATCTACACTTCAGGAATGTGCAGGGTTCCATCCACTTGAGATGGAGATACGGATGCTGCAGTAGCTGCCAGGTCACCTGCACTCTGACTACCTGGAAGATCAGGCATCTCCTCACCACTCACATCCTCACTGGGGCTGGAAGGCTCACCATGAACATTTGTGTCTATGTATCTCGGGAGAGCTCCTTCCTGCTTAGATAGAAAAGCTTCCTTTGCTTTCTTTCTTTTTCTGAATGCTGCCCCAGAGGGGCGTTTTCTTCTTTCACTCATGACTGCTGTTCTGGGCCAGCTATAGTGGCTCTCAACACTCAATTGAAGGGGACAAATAAGCAGGCTGGTAGCAGGGCCTGAGTGAGGGAAGAGGTCAGCGTCTTAAGGGCTAACTGGCTCCTACTACTTCAGTTGACTGCCTGTTCTCCTCAAGTGGGTTCAGGGAAGCAGCAGGAAACAGGAAGCTCCCGGAGAAGCTGGGGTTAATCAGTCCAGGCTCCTGGGGTGCAGGTGAGGGACATAAGAGGCTCCTGCTCCTCTCTGTCCCTGCAGCTCCTGCTGCTTTCTGTTATTCCCCCTCACCTTTTCTCCTGCCTGCCTGTTATGTCTCTTGTGCCCTCCTTCCTCCAGCACAGCACTCCCCCATCTCTGTGCATCCAGAGCAGAGAGAATACAGATGCACCAGCAGCAGACACCATTTTCTACACTCTGGGTCGCAGTGGCACCCCCCCACAGTCTGGCACCAGAGGCGGCCGCCTCAGTTCTCCACATGGTAAGGCCAGCCCTGTCCATGGGTGCTGTGGCCCATGACCAGCCAGGCCCTGCTCCTGAAGAGAACTGGAGGCGTGCGACCCCCAGGGTCTCCAGGGATGGCAGCATCCTCAGACCAGATCAGTTTGGGAGGAGGGCTGTTATGGGTGGCCTTTTCCTGTGGACTGAGAGATGCCCTGGGTTGGAGCATATTCCCAAGGTAAGGGTTCGGAGTTCCTCAAGACCAATAGTGAAGGGCAGGAGGCTCTAGTTGCTTCCTAAGACTCAAATTAATATATGCATTTTGTTTATTGCTGTAGACTTCCATTGGTTCATACACAAAAGGCACCAGGCACCTCGATGATGCATTTAAACAGTCAGATCAAACTAGCATCTAGCCCCCTAACAGGCCCCAACCAAAGCTCCTCCCTCCCCACAAACCAGCCCATCAAGGCTTCACTTCTCACACCGTGGGTCTGGCAACATTCCCTGAAGGTCTGTAGAACCAGACTATTTTGCCCTGTAATGTGGGGAGCAGATTACAAAGCTGAGAGCCCTGCTGCCAACCCCTTCTCTTATAACAAGTGGGCTCCAGCTGAGGTGCCTCCGCTTACCTGGAGTGTGGCTCGGTGGGGAGAGCGGTCTCTCTCAAGTAGGGATGTCCCTTTAGGGCTTTATAAGTCAGAACAAACACCTCCAATTCCACCTGGAAACCACCGAGTGGCCAGTGCAGATCCCAGAGCAGCAGCACGACATGGGGTCCTGCAGGAAAGTGCCATCAGGAAACCAGCTGCCACAGGCGGCCCCAGCGGCAGTAAACTCTAGGCCCCTGTAGTAGTCCAGCCTGGCGGTGCTGCAGGCCAGGACTCGCCTCGGAGCTCCCTCCAGTTTGTGTCTCTGGGGAGGAGATGCCCAAGTACAATACCCTCCCTCCCCATGTTGCCTCCAGCATGGCTGAGCTCCTCTGGCCACTTGGCACAGGAGAGAAAGCCAGCAATGGTGTACGGGGAGGACATCCTGGAGCTGCTGACCCTGAGGGGTCTGACGAGAACTAACAAGTTTGCAATGAGGAGCTTTGCTGTGCCAGAGATCTGGTGGGCTCCGCTTCTCCATTTTACATCTCGCTGGTTGCCAGCGGGTGCTGGGGCTGAAGCAAGTAACACAGAGCTGCTCCGAGCTTGAACCAAGAGTGGATCTCCCCTGTGCGGCCCAGCCCTGCCTGCCCCTCTCTGCTCAGCCCCAAGTCTACACTGGAGCAGGAGGTGTAACTTCCTGTTGGGGCAGACATACCTGCACTAGCTCTGATCAAGCTATTGTGCTAAAAATAGCAGTGCAGCCACGGTTAGTTTTTGATCAAGCTATTGTGCTGAAAACAGCAGGCTAGCCGCCCCACATACGCGCCTATCTGACCCCTAGGTATGTCCCTGAGGCAGGTAGCCTATCCCATTGCCCATGCAGCCGTGGCTACACTGCTATCTTTAACACTCAAGCTTGATCAGAGTTAGTGCACTTATGTCTTCTCTTTCTGGAAATTACACCTCCAGCTCCAGTGCAGACATACCCTCAGTCCAGCCCAGCCCTCGCTACCCGGTCCTGCCCGGCCTACTCTACCCTGCCTGGCCCTGCCCTTGCTGCCCAATCCAGCCTGGTCCTCTCCAGCCTGTGAAGTATTAATTTAGATGGAATAAATGGGACAAAGCTGTTAACAGAACACAGTCACTGTCCAACATTAATCAGTTTTAACCAAGGCTTGGCGTTTGGTATGCAGAGGCCTCCGCTTGCTTAGCACCATGGCCAACTCCCCGTTAAACAGCATGTTCACCTGCTGTTACAGCAACAGAAAAAGGCAAACGGGTAAAGCAGCTGAAATGTGAGTGATGAAATAAGGCTTTCATGTGACCATTTCTTGTTCCCTTTCCTTTAGGAGCAGAGTGTTTTGAAGGAAAAACCCAACCCTTGCTTGACAGGCTCTTAGATGGTATCTGAGATGGCAATCGCTGTCCTTCCTAGAGTGAGAGGTTCGTTGAGAGAGGCTGGAGCTGGTGTTATTGCCCCTGCTGCTGCTGTTTAAAGTCCTTTCCTCCCAGGCGGTGGTTAAGATTCAGATGGAGCTGGTAGGTTAGCAGTGTCATTGGGCTCCTTCTTCCTGGCCTGGCCTGGCCTGGTCAGGACATTTCTCAGGCTCAGGGTGATGATGGCCCAGAGTCCCAGGAAACAATGTGGGGGGGACGACACACACCATGGTGGTGAAGCTTTCTTTAGTAGCCGCTCCATTCTTTTGTACTTTCCCTGCAAAATCTCTTTCTTTTAATGCCCCACAGAGGGAGTGTTGGGTGGAATAGCCCATCCCCTCGTTACTGTGGCTGCCAATTAGGCCTAATGTCTGACATATCAATTTTGGATCATTAGCCTCTGGCTACACAGCTCCTGTTTTTAACAAGCAAAATTTCAACACAATTCTTGACTCATATTAACTTGGCTGTTTTATTTAGAGCAGGTCAGTTCTTGTGATGCCCTTTTGCACCATTTCCCACCAGCAGTTGTTGGTATAGGGTAGTGTAATCTCAGATGAGCGTGTATGGACTTGGTGCAGTTGAGCTCACAATTCTTGTAAATTTGTGGGCCCAAATGCCACAACATCTCCCTGGGGGTTGGAAGCTTGGGCTTGCCTTTTGCCCCCTCCTGCCCCACCTCGTTATCGTGGGGTATCTTTGCATGGAGCTGGGTTTACTCCAACTCTGATGGGGGCGTCAGACCAGAGCACAAAGGCAGTCTCCCCCACGTGTGTGCTTCCAGTGGAGGCGGGAACACAGGCCTTCAAGGGCAGGGCTGCCCATCTCTGCCCATGCTCCCATAAGAGACAATTCCATTCAGTTCTGTGATCTCTCCTGGGCCCGAGATGCTGGCTCCATGGTGCTGAAGTGGAGCAGACAGGGCCCTCAGGATACTGAGGTGGATACAGAATAGCAGGTGAGTGGGGAGAGACGGGCTGTAGGGATGCTTGCTCTATCTGATTCCTGGGGAGGGGGCACAAGCTTTCTCTGGCTGCCTACAGCATTGCTGGGGAAAGCAGCGTCCCTGGCTGCTCTGAGGGTGAGCTGGGCTCATGATCAGTCCCTTGCCCTGCACGCGGGCCCTGGCCAGGAGCCCACATGCACCTGTCATGCCATGCAGCTGCACAGCTGCTGACCAGTTGCCTGGGCTCTGTGTTCTGCCTGTGCAGCAGAAATGACGCAAGCAGCTGCCCTTATCCTCCTGGGATCAGTGGTGGGGGGGGGGTGGGGACCCTAGAGAGATAAGCTGGGGTATCTGCCCAGCAGCAGGACATGGGGTGATAGGAGCAGTTGAAATGTAACTGTTCAGATTAATCATTACAGCGTAGGGCTGATAAGACTGGGACAAACCTCGCTGCCTGGAATGAGGGGGAGGAGTGAGTACCCAGTCCTTGTCTCACCCGCCTGCAGGCAGGCAACTGTTTGTACTGGAGTAACAGGTTTGGGAACCTTCGGATTCTTTCAGAGCCATCGCCATCAGTTCTGGGCCTGGACCATGCGTGGGACAAAGAAATACAGGCATGTTATTGAGACGCCAGATCCCGGCAAGTGGGAGGTAAGAACCACAGAGCAGCTTGTGGGTCGTTATTGTCTCCAGGAACTCCCCTGTGCCGGGACTGAGGTAGGACACTACCCCGGGACCAGGTGCTGCCCTGGCTGCTCCAGCAGGGACAGGGCAGGAGCTTTCTTCATCACCTGCTGCCACTCCTCAACCAAACCAGCCCTGATGAGCTGGTTGCCCTGTGGCAGCCACTGCCAAGAAACCATTCCCATTCCAGTTACTAAAAAGAACAGGAGGACTTGTGGCACCTTAGAGACTAACCAATTTATTTGAGCATAAGCTTTCGTGAGCTGCAGCTCACTTCATCGGATGCATACTGTGGAAAATACAGAAGACGTTTTTATACACACAAACCATGAAAAAATGGGTGATTATCACTACAAAATGTTTTCTCTCCCCGCACCCCACTCTCCTGCTGGTAATAGCTTATCTAAAGTGATCACTCTCCTTACAATGTGTATGATAATCAAGGTGGGCCATTTCCAGCACAAATCCAGGGTTTAACAAGAACGTCTGAGGAAGGGGTGGGGGGTAGGAAAAAACAAGGGGAAATAGGTTACCTTGCATAATGACTTAGCCACTCCCAGTCTCTATTCAAGCCTAAGTTAATTGTATCCAATTTGCAAATGAATTCCAATTCAACAGTTTCTCGCTGGAGTCTGGATTTGAAGTTTTTCTGTTGTAATATCGCAACTTTCATGTCTGTAATCGCGTGACCAGAGAGATTGAAGTGTTCTCCGACTGGTTTATGAATGTTATAATTCTTGACATCTGATTTGTGTCCATTTATTCTTTTACGCAGAGACTGTCCAGTTTGACCAATGTACATGGCAGAGGGGCATTGCTGGCACATGATGGCATATATCACATTGGCGGATGTGCAGGTGAACGAGCCTCTGATAGTGTGGCTGATGTGATTAGGTCCTGTGATGGTGTCCCCTGAATAGATATGTGGGCACAGTTGGCAACGGGCTTTGTTGCAAGGATAGGTTCCTGGGTTAGTGGTTCTGTTGTGTGGTATGTGGTTGCTGGTGAGTATTCGCTTCAGGTTGGGGGGCTGTCTGTAGGCAAGGACTGGCCTGTCTCCCAAGATTTGTGAGAGTGTTGGGTCATCCTTCAGGATAGGTTGTAGATCTTTGATAATGCATTGGAGGGGTTTTAGTTGGGGGCTGAAGGTGACGGCTAGTGGCGTTCTGTTATTTTCTTTGTTAAGCCTGTCCTGTAGTAGGTGACTTCTGGGAACTCTTCTGGCTCTATCAATCTGTTTCTTCACTTCAGCAGGTGGGTATTGTAGTTGTAAGAATGCTTGATAGAGATCTTGTAGGTGTTTGTCTCTGTCTGAGGGGTTGGAGCAAATGCGGTTGTATCGCAGAGCTTGGCTGTAGACGATGGATCGTGTGGTGGTCAGGGTGAAAGCTGGAGGCATGTAGGTAGGAATAGCGGTCAGTAGGTTTCCGGTATAGGGTGGTGTTTATGTGACCATCGTTTATTAGCACTGTAGTGTCCAGGAAGTGGATCTCTTGTGTGGACTGGACCAGGCTGAGGTTGATGGTGGGATGGAAATTGTTGAAATCATGGTGGAATTCCTCAAGGGCTTCTTTTCAATGGGTCCAGATGATGAAGATGTCATCAATATAGCGCAAGTAGAGTATTTTACTGGTTTATGACTGTTATAATTCTTGACATAATTCTTGAATAGAGACTGGGAGTGGCTAAGTCATTATGCAAGGTAACCTATTTCCCCTTGTTTTTTCCTACCCCCCACCCCTTCCTCAGACGTTCTTGTTAAACCCTGGATTTGTGCTGGAAATGGCCCACCTTGATTATCATGCACATTGTAGGGAGAGAGAACTTTACATAAGCTATTACCAGCAGGAGAGTGGGATGCGGGGAGAGAAAACCTTTTGTAGTGATAATCACCCATTTTTTCATGGTTTGTGTGTATAAAAACATCTTCTGTATTTTCCACGGTATGCATCCAATGAAGTGAGCTGTAGCTCACGAAAGCTCATGCTCAAATAAATTGGTTCGTCTCTAAGGTGCCACAAGTCCTCCTTTTCCTTTTGCAAATACAGACTAACACGGCTGTTACTCTGATTCCAGTTATTATGACCCTGAAACATGGGAGAGGGAACCAGGAAGAAAAGCTGCAACCTGGCAGTGCCAGTGTGCGTCTGTGAGTGTGGTTCTTCCCACAGAGGCTCAGCTGGTTCTGGTTCATGACGTGCAAGGAACAGACTTCAGCACAGAAGGACAGACTCTGAGGCCAGAAGGGACCGTTGTGATCATCTAGTCCAGTGGTCCCCAAACTTTTCAGGGTTGCACCCCCACCCATACCCCTTTCCCCCATCCGCCTGCGCCAGGAATGGGAGCAGGGCTATGGCTCCCAGGGGTGGGGGATGCCGATATTGATAAAGGGACTGAGGCTGGGGCTGCAGCTGGGGGTGAGTCTGGGGCCAGGAGTGGAGCCGGGAGGGGGGTGCTGCAGCCAGGGGCCAAGGATAGTAGTGGAACCAGGACCAGGGGCCAAGGCTGAGGACGGGGAAGGGACTGGGGATGGGTGCAGAGCCTTGGCTGGTCCACGGTCAGAGGCCAAGCCCGGGGGCGGGGCTGGAGCAGATCTGGGAGCAAAGCGGGGCTAGGTGGCGTTCCCTTCCATGGGGGCTGGCCCAGGCCCTGCCGTGCCCCCCCCAATATTCCTCCGTGCCCCCCTAGGGGGGCATGCCCCACAGTTTGTAGTCCTCTGATCTAGTCTGAACTCCTGTATAACACAGGCCAGAGAACTTCCCTGAAGTAATTTCTGCTCCAACTCTAATAGCTGAGATTGAACTAACTAATAAGAACAAAAGAACGGCCACACCGAGTCAGGTCAATGATCATCGAGCCCAATATCCTGTCTTCCAACAGTGACTGGTGCCAGATGCTTCACAGAGAATGAACAGACCAAGGCAGTTATGCATCCCCTCTTGTCGATTCCCAGGTTATGGCAGTCAGAGGTTGAGGAGCACCCAGAGCATGGGGTTGTGTCCCTGACCATCTTGGCAAATAGCCCTTGATGGACCTGTCCCCCAGGAACTGATCGAGTTCTTTTTTTGAACTCACATATACTTTTGGCCTTCACAACATCCCCTGTCAACAAGTTCCTCAGGATGACTGTGTTGTGTGAAGAACTTCCTTTTGTTTGTTTTAAACCTGCTGCCTGTTAATTTTATTGAGTGACCCCGAGTTCATGTGTTATGTGAGAGGATAAATGACACTTCCTGGTTCACTGTCTCCACCCCAGTCATGGTTTATAGACCTCTGTTGAGTCCCCCCTTCGTCGACTCTTCTCTAAACTGAACAGTCCCAGGCTTTTGAATTTCTCCTCATACGGAAGCTGCTCCATCCCTCTAATAAATTTTGTTGGACTTCTCTGTATTTTTTCCAATTCCAATATATCTTTTTTGAAATGGGATGACCAGAACTGCATGCAGTACTCAAGGTGTGGGTGCACCATGGATTTATACAGTGGCATTTTGATATTTTCTGTTTTATTATCTATCCCATTTCTAAGGGCTCCTAACATCCGGTTTGCTTTTTTGACTGCCACTGCACATCGAGCAGATGATTTCAGAGAACTATCCATGATGACTCCAAGATCTCTTTCTTGAGTGGTAACAGCTAGTTTAGACTCATTTTCTATGTATAGTTGGGATTATTTTTTCCAGTGTGCATTACTTTGCCCTTATCAACATTGAATTGCATCTGCCATTTTGTCACGCAGTCATCCAGTTTTGTGAGATCCCTTTGTAGCTCTTCACAGCCTGCCTTAGACTTAACTTTCTTCAGTATCATAGAATCATAGAATATCAGGGTTGGAAGGGACCTCAGGAGGTCATCTAGTCCAACCCCCTGCTCAAAGCAGGACCAATCCCCAATTAAATCATCCCAGCCAGGGCTTTGTCAGTAATTTTGTATCATCTAAAAACTTTGCCATTTTACTGTTTAGCCCTTTTTCCAGATCATTTATGAATATGTTGAATAGCGCAGGTCCCAGTGTAGATCCTTGGGGGACCTTGCTATTTAGCTCTTTCATTGTATAAACTGACCATTTATTCCTAGCCTTTGTTTCCTATCTTTTAACCAGTTACTGATCCATGAGAGGACCTCCCTCTTATCTCATGACTGATTATTTTGCTTAAACACCTTTGGTATAGGACCTGGTCAAAGGCTTTCTGAAAGTTTAAATACACTATATCCACTGGATCACCCTTGTCCCCATGCTTATTGACACTCTCTCAAAGAATTCTAGTAGATTGGTGAGGCAGGATTTCCCTTTACAAAAGCCAAGTTGGCTCTTAGAATCATAGAATATCAGGGTTGGAAGGGATCTCAGGAGACCATCTAGTCCAACCCCCTGCTCAAAGCAGGACCCATCCCCAATTAAATCATCCCAGCCAGGGCTTTGTCAAGCCTGACCTTAAAAACTTCTAAGGAAGGAGATTCCACCACCTCCCTAGGTAACGCATTCCAGTGTTTCACCACCCTCCTAGTGAAAAAGTTTTTCCTAATATCCAACCTAAATTTCCCCCACTGCAACTTGAGACCATTACTCCTCGTTCTGTCATCTGCTACCACTGAGAACAGTCTAGATCCATCCTCTTTGGAACTCCCTTTCAGGTAGTTGAAAGCAGCTATCAAATCTCCCCTTATTCTTCTCTTCTGAAGACTAAAACATCCCCAGTTCCCTCAGCCTCTCCTCGTAAGTCATGTGTTCCAGTCCCCTAATAATTTTTGTTGCCCTCTGCTGGACTCTCTCCAATTTATCCACATCCTTCTTGTAGTGTGGGGCCCAAAACTGGACACAGTACTCCAGATGAGGCCTCACCAATGTCAAATACAGGGGAATGATCACGTCCCTTGATCTGCTGGCAATGCCCCTACGTATACATCCCAAAATGCCATTGGCCTTCTTGGCAACAAGGGCACATTGTTGACTCATATCCAACTTCTCGTCCACTGTAACTCCTAGGTCCTTTTCTGCAGAACTGCTCCCGAGCCATTCGGTCCCTAGTCTGTAGCTGTGCATTGGATAGTTCCATCCTAAGTGCAGGACTCTGCACTTGTCCTTGTTGAACCTCATCAGATTTCTTTTGGCCCAATCCTCCAATTTGTCTAGGGCCCTCTGTATCCTATCCCTGCCCTCCAGCGTATCTACCACTCCTCCCGGTTTAGTGTCATCTGCAAACTTGCTGAGGGTGCAATCCACACCATCCTCCAGATCATTTTATGAAGATATTGAACAAAACCGGCCCCAGGACCGACCCTTGGGGCACTCCACATGATACCGGTTGCCAACTAGACATGGAGCCATTGATCACTACCCGTTGAGCCCGACAATCTAGCCAGCTTTCTATCCACCTTATAGTCCATTCATCCAGCCCATACTTTTTTAACTTGCTGGCAAGAATACTGTGGGAGACCGTGTCAAAAGCTTTGCTAAAGTCCAGGAACAACACGTCCACTGCTTTCCCTTCATCCACAGAGCCAGTTATCTCGTCATAGAAGGCAATCAGATTAGTCAGGCATGACTTGCCCTTGGTGAATCCATGCTGACTGTTCCTGATCACTTTCCTCTCCTCTAAGTGCTTCAGAATTGATTCCTTGAGGACCTGCTCCATGATTTTTCCAGGGACTGAGGTCAGGCTGACTAGCCTGTAGTTCCCAGGATCCTCCTTCTTCCCTTTTTTAAAGATGGGCACTACATTCGCCTTTTTCCAGTCATCTGGGACCTCCCCCGATCGCCATGAGTTTTCAAAGATAATGGCCAATGGCTCTGCAATCACATCCACCAACTCCTTTAGCACTCTCGGATGCAGCGCATCCGGCCCCATGGACTTGTGCACGTCCAGCTTTTCTAAATAGTCCCGAACCACTTCTTTCTCCACAGAGGGCTGGTCACCTCCTCCCCATGCTGTGCTGCCCAGTGCAGCAGTCTGGGAGCTGACCTTGTTCGTGAAGACAGAGGGAAAAAAAGCATTGAGTACATTAGCTTTTTCCACATCCTCTGTCACCAGGTTGCCTCCCTCATTCAGTAAGGGGCCCACACTTTCCTTGACTTTCTTCTTGTTGCTAACATACCTGAAGAAACCCTTCTTGTTACTCTTAACATCTCTTGCTAGCTGCAACTCCAGGTGTGATTTGGCCTTCGTGATTTCACTCCTGCAAGCCCGAGCAATATTTTTATACTCATCCCTGGTCATTTGTCCAATCTTCCACTTCTTGTAAGCTTCTTTTTTGTATTTAAGAGCAGCAAGGATTTCACTGTTAAGCCAAGCTGGTCGCCTGCCATATTTACTATTCTTTCTACATGTCGGGATGGTTTGTCCCTGTAACCTCAATAAGGATTCTTTAAAATACAGCCAGCTCTCCTGGACTCCTTTCCCCCTCATGTTATTCTCCCAGGGGATCTTGCCCATCAGTTCCCTGAGGGAGTCAAAGTCTGCTTTTCTGAAGTCCAGGGTCCGTATTCTGCTGCTTTCCTTTCCTCCTTGTGTCAGGATCCTGAACTCGACCATCTCATGGCCACTGCCTCCCAGGTTCCCATCCACTTTTGCTTCCCCTACTAATTCTTCCTGGTTTGTGAGCAGCAGGTCAAGAAGAGCTCTGCCCCTAGTTGGTTCCTCCAGCACTTGCACCGGGAAATCGTCCCCTACACTTTCCAAAAACTTCCTGGATTGTCTGTGCACCGCTGTATTGCTCTCCTAGCAGATATCAGGGTGATTGAAGTCTCCCATGAGAACCAGGGCCTGCGATCTAGTAGCTTCTGTGAGTTGCCGGAAGAACGCCTCGTCCACCTCATCCCCCTGGTCCAGTGGTGTATAGCAGACTCCCACCATGACATCACCCTTGTTGCTCACACTTCTAAACTTAATCCAGAGACTCTCAGGTTTTTCTGCAGTTTCATACTTGAGCTCTGAGCAGTCATACTGCTCCCTTACATACAGTGCAACTCCCCCACCTTTTCTGCCCTGCCTGTCCTTCCTAAACAGCTTATATCCTTCCATGACAGTACTCCAGTCATGTGAGTTATCCCACCAAGTCTCTGTTATTCCAATCACATCATAATTCCTTGACTGTGCCAGGACTTCCAGTTCTCCCTGCTTGTTTCCCAGGCTTCTTGCATTTGTATATAGGCACTTGAGATAACCCGCTGATCGCCCCTCCTTTCTCAGTATGAGGCAGGAGCCCTCCCCTCTCGTGCACTCCTGCTCGTGCTTCCTCCCGGTATCCCACTTCCTCACTTACCTCAGGGCTTTGGTCTCCTTCCCCCAGTGAACCTAGTTTAAAGCCCTCCTCACTAGGTTAGCCAGCCTGCTTGCGAGGATGCTCGTCCCTCTCTTCATTAGGTGGAGCCCGTCTCTGCCTAGCACTCCTTCTTGGAACACCATCCCATGGTCAAAGAATCCAAAGCCTTCTCTCCGACACCACCTGCATAGCCATTCGTTGACTTCCACCATTCGACGGTCTCTACCCAGGCCTTTTCCTTCCACGGGGAGGATGGACGAGAACACCACTTGCGCCTCAAACTCCTTTATCCTTCTTCCCAGAGCCACGTAGTCCACAGTGATGCGCTCAAGGTCATTCTTGGCAGTGTCATTGGTGCCCACGTGGAGAAGCAGGAAGGGGCAGCGATCCGAGGGCTTGATGAGTCTCGGCAGTCTCTCCGTCACATCGCAAATCCTAGCTCCTGGCAAGCAGCAGCAGCAGCTCGTCCCCAATATATTGTGTTCATCTCTGTGTCTGATAATTCTGTTCCTTACTATAGTGTCAACCAACTTTCCTGGTACTGAAGTTATGCTTACTAGCCTGTAATTGCCAGGATTGCCGCTGGAGCCTTTAAAAAAAATCTGCATTACATTAGCTACCCTCCAGTCACGTGGTGCAGAGGCTGATTTAAGCAATAGGTTACATACCACAGTTAGGAGTTCTTCAATTTCATATGTGAGTTCCTTTAGAATTCTTGGGTGAATCCCATCTGGTCCTGGTGACTTATTGCTGTTTGTTTAATCAGTTTGTTCCCAAATCTTCTCCATTGAGGCTCAATCTCAAGTGCAGCAGGTTTAGAAACCCAAAGGCAAGTTAATGCTGAGGTTGCTGAGCCCTTGCCAAATGTTTTGTTTCCTCATCTCTAGCCCTCTTTGTTGCTCTGTTTTGTTCTCCTAATGTGCCCTTTCTGACCCAAGACTGGACGATCCCTGGGCAGGGAGCATGTGTACAGCACCAAACACCATGGCGCCCTGATCACCGGTCAGGTTCCTAGGAGCAGCCATAATAGAAAGTAACAATAACAACAACGAAAGAACTTAAATAAGCCCATCTGGTGAGCGGAGGAGGAAGGGGTGGAGGGTTGCAGTGGAGGGGCTTTCTGTCCCAGGCTAAATGCGCACAGTTGGACTAGTATATTTAGAGGCTGTGGGAGACATTCTAGCACTGGGACCCAGTCCCGCTCTGCCCTGGGGAGACTCTGCATCCTGTGTGCATTGGCTTTCAGCTGGCGGGGTACGAGGCAACCCTGCCCATCAGTGAGAAGTCAAACCCCATCACCAGGGAGCTGGATAAGGCTGACCCTGTGCAGATTGTCCAGCTTCTGAAGGAATGTGATGCAGAGATATTCCAGGAGGAGGACGAAGCTCTGCTCAACTATACGGTAAGTTCTCTGCCTTGCCTGCCTGTGTGTTGAGATCCCCTCGCCATAGCCACATTGGTTGTAGAGCTGTGGGAGAGCCTAGGGAAGTGGTGGGCCTGGCGTTGAGTCCTGGAGGTGCTGAGATTTGTGATAGTTTTCCCTTTGTGTTGGAGGGCATTGAAAAGCCATCAGGCTGGCCCCTGAGAAGGCTCTATCTCTTGCTCCCACTGGCCTTGCCCTCATCACCGAGAGCTTGTTGATTGTAAGGGAAGAGATGACACATGAGGGAACCCCAGTTCAGTCATTCAGAGCCCAGCAGACCAGTCAGGCCCTCACCCTGAACCCTGTATTCAGATGATGTTAATAGTCTGCCTTTTCATACTATTTCTGGTGTGTGTGTCTATATGGGTGGGTGGGGCAGTAAACCCGCGGAGCCCTGAGCTTTGGAGTGAGGGGGTTACCTCATAGGCCACTGAGCCACCCCATGGAGTATGGGTCCCGCTGGGGTGAGTAACCCCACAGAGCCCTGACCTCTCCCTCACGATCTATGGGCTGGTTGGGAGATAACATCACAAAGCCCTAATCTTCTCACTTTCTTCTCAGAGACTGTACAGTGAGTCAGTGCTGAAGACCATGATTGACATTATCAATAAAGTGCAGGAAGTCCTGAAGGTACATTGTAGTGCAGTGCACTGTGGGGCAGTGGGTGGGGTGTGGTATGGTACGGCACACTGCAGTATGGTGCAGAGAAATGTGGTGTGGTACAGTATGGTAGGACGTGCTTGTGATGCAGTATGGTGCAGTTTGGCATGAAGCAACGCAGTAGGATGTGGTATGGTGAAATGCAGTGTAGTGTGGCATGACATGGTGAAGTGCAATGTGATTCCTATGAGGTGAGGTGCAGTGCAGTGGAATGAGGTAAAGTGTGGTGCAATGAGGTGAGACATAGTGTGCTATGGAGCAGCATGGTACAGTGAGGTGATGTGCAGTGAGGTGTGCAGCTAGATGCAGTGTGGTATGGAGCAACATGATACAGAGAGGTGAGGTGCAGTGGGGTGTGTTGCAGCATGGTACACCAAGGTGTGGTGCAGCGAGGTGAGGTGTGGTGCAGTGAGGTATGGAGCAGCGTGGTGCAGTGAGGTGAGGTATGGAGCAGCATGGTACAGTGTGGTGAGGTGCAGCATGATACAGTACAGGAATGGAGCTCTGAAAGGTACTGTACCCCTTTGTCAGCTCTGAAAGGTACTGTACCCTTTGGACATCGTACAGGAGATGCTCAATCAGCCCTCTTTGCTGTCCTTAGTGACATCATCAGCATGTCTGGGGAGCCATGGCTCAGTGGTTCTTGGAGTTCCACACTGGAGAGGACCAGGCCTGCCCCATCCTGGGTTCCTTCCCTCTCGCAGAGCCAGGGGAGCTGGGGACAGACCAGCCTTGGGCCATATCAGGGCCATGGCATGATAAAGGAAGAGGTGTCTCACCACAGTGAATGCGCTGCCATCATAGAGCCCACTCCCTATTCCTAAAGGACGTGCTGGAGAGGCAGCAGGGTCTGGGGGCTCTTACCCCAGATGCTGGAGTCCATGTGCTCACACAGCAGCCAGCTGATGGGATCCCTCAAGGCAGGCATCTGGGCCTGTGGTCCAGGCCAGGTCTGGGACTCCCGGAGCAGGCAGCCATGTTCTGCACAAGTTGCAGCTTTGAGTGAGCGTGTTGCAGAGTGTGGCTGGGAGGGGGCCAAGGCCCAGGTCTCACAGGGAAGGCTGATGTGAAAGGGAAAAACACTCCTGGTCTAAGAGCCACTGGGGATCCTGAACGTTGTTATCAAAGGCTGCCACAGTCCTCAGTGCAAGCGACCATGGCCTCTGTCTGCTCTGAGCAGCTGTGGGACTCCTGCCTCTGGCTGGGGAGATGGGCCCAGCTCCGCAGGACAGTCACCTGTCTCCATTGGTTCTGCAGGACCCAGACAACACCCTTATCGTGCTGAGCGGCGGGGGCACCTCAGGCAGGCTGGCCTTCCTTATTGCCGTGAGTTGCTCCTGCTTCCTCCTCATCTCCACAGTGTGCTGGTGCAGAATCCCAGCCCTGGGGAACACCCGGGATATGCTCAGCACACCCCATCCTCCCAATGATGCACACCAACCTCCTAAGGACACAGCCTACTTGGAGATACTCAGCCCCCTACATTCTCCAGCAACGCCCCTGGCTACCCAGTGCAGCTCAGCCTCCCTAACCCCACCCCAGAGGGGCTCAGCATCCCTCTCCATTTCCCAAGCACACTGTGCCCCCATGGTCTCCCAGTGAGGCACATCCCTCTTGGGATCCCTGGAGATGCTCAACCCCCAGCCGCACTGGCCTCAGTGGAGACACTCAGCCCCCTCCCCCTCCCCAGCTCCCACAAAGATGCTCAGGTTCTCCCGGACCCATCAAGACACTTAGCTCTCCCCGGCCCCTCAGCTTTCCTGCAGGTGCTCAGCATGCCCCAGGCCTTGAACCATGAGGGGAGAGAACACTTAGAACTTAGGACGGAAGAACCCAATGCACCGCTACAGACTAGGGACCGAATGGCTAGGCAGCAGTTCTGCGGAAAAGGACCTGGGGTGACAGTGGACGAGAAGCTGGATATGAGTCAGCAGTGTGCCCTTGTTGCCAAGAAGGCCAATGGCATTTTGGGATGTATAAGTAGGGGCATAGCGAGCAGATCGAGGGACGTGATCGTTCCCCTCTATTCGACATTGGTGAGGCCTCATCTGGAGTACTGTGTCCAGTTTTGGGCCCCACACTACAAGAAGGATGTGGATAAATTGGAGAGAGTCCAGCGAAGGGCAACAAAAATGATTAGGGGTCTAGAACACATGACTTATGAGGAGAGGCTGAGGGAGCTGGGATTGTTTAGCCTGCAGAAGAGAAGAATGAGGGGGGATTTGATAGCTGCTTTCAACTACCTGAAAGGGGGTTCCAAAGAGGATGGCTCTAGACTGTTCTCAATGGTAGCAGATGACAGAACGAGGAGTAATGGTCTCAAGTTGCAGTGGGGGAGGTTTAGATTGGATATTAGGAAAAACTTTTTCACTAGGAGGGTGGTGAAACACTGGAATGCGTTACCTAGGGAGGTGGTAGAATCTCCTTCCTTAGAGGTTTTTAAGGTCAGGCTTGACAAAGCCCTGGCTGGGATGATTTAACTGGGAATTGGTCCTGCTTCGAGCAGGGGGTTGGACTAGATGACCTTCAGGGGTCCCTTCCAACCCTGATATTCTATGATTCTATGAACACAGTGCCATGGGCTGCATGGGTGGAGCATAGGATGGCTTGAGGGTGCAGGGTGCTGTAAGCAGCACAGGGGCGCCCCAGGGAGCCATGGCAGCAGGCAGAAAGGGTGCAATGGGTTGCAATCACAAATTGCCATGAACTCTCTGGGTCAGTTCTGGCTGCCTGGGATGGGGTGGGTGCGGGTGCTCCTCTTGGGTTCGATTTCCCACTTATAATACCTGTTTCTGCTTGTGTTATGGGGCCAGCCCCAAGCCCCTGGCAGAAATAATCGTGCACTGGAGCTCATGCCTGGACTGGAAACCTTGGGGCGAGGACCAGTAGTTTCCTGTTAGAGGTGGGCTCTACAGGGCAGATACAGCGGTGCTGGCTTAGGGGGCCTCCTATTGTGTATGTCACTAGGGAAAGGGGTCTGCTGCTGCCTCTGGCTTTGTCTTCTCTTCACAGTATATTGTAGCTCCCTGGCCTGCATGGGCTGGGTGGTTCCTAGGATGGTTAATTTATAGACAGGTTGCTGGGGTGCATGGCCTGCCTGTTTTTGTGCCTCTCTCTCTCTCTCTCTTCCCAGGTTTCCTTTAACAAGCTGCTGAAGGGTCTAGGTCAGCTGCCCCGTTACACGTACATCATTGCTGGGGGAGACAGGTAAGGGGGAGAGCACGTGTTTGCACTCAGCCTAGCTGAGCAGATAATGGCCTTTGCTTCCGGCTGTGGCTCTGGCTGTCTCCCAGCCAGACACCGACATTTGTCCCATCTGAGACCCTAGTGGGTAGCATCTTGCCTCCCCCTCTGCCTGGCCAAGCAGGGGATGGCAGAGAGTGCTCCAGTGCACCGTTTATAGACCAGTACTGTATGTGTGGGGTCGAGCGCATGTGGGTCTCTGGTTAGCAGTTGTCAATAGGGAATGATAATCTAATGGGGGTGTTTCTAATGGAATTCACTGGTACTGGGGCCTGATGCTATTCAACCCTTTAATCAATGATCTGGAATTAAATATAAACTCATGGATGACACACAGATTGTCAAAGTAAACTACGAAGAGGACAGGGCATCATACAGGGCAAGGTGGATCAATTGGTAAGCTGGCTGATTTGAAACAAAATGTGGTTTAATATTGCCAAATGCCTACAGCTAGAAACGAGGACTGCAGGCCATGCCTATAGAATGGAGACTGCATCCTGGAAAGCAGTGACTCTGCAAAGATTATGTGGTCCCACTGGACAAGCAGCTGAAGAGGAGTGTGATGGTCTGGCCAAAAGGGTGAATGCAGTTATTTGATGTATAAGCAGGGGAGAAGTGAGTAGGAGCAGGGAGATGATTTCACCTCTATATATGACATTGGTGAGATTGATACTGGAATACTGTATCCAGTTTTGGTATCCACAGTTTAAAAGGATGTTGGAAAACTTGAGAGGGTGCAGAGAAGAGCCACAAAAATTATTCAAGGGTTGGAAAAATTCACTTACAGTGAGAGACTTACGGAGCTCAATCAGTTTAGTTCAGGGGTTGGCAAACTACGGCCCGTGGGCTGGAGCTGGCCTGCGAGCCATTTTAAGCCGGCCTGCGAGCCGCACCACGTAGCTCAGCTCCGCTCCAGTGCTCTGTTCGGGGCACAGGGTTGTGGGCCGGATCATGCGGCTCAGCCCTGCTCCTGCGCTCCAGCCAGGGCGCTGGGTCAGGGCTGCACCACACGGCTCGGCCACGTTCTGGTGCTCCAGACGGGTGCTGCGTCGGAGGCCACACCAGCAGCTGGGCCCTGCTCTGGTGCTCTGGCCTGGGCGCTGGGTCGGGGCCACACTGCACCATGCGGCTTGGCCCTGCTCCGGCCTGTGTGCTGGGTCAAGGGCCACACCACGCGGCTCAGACCCGCTCCAGTGCTCCGGCCAGGGCACAGGTTCAGGGCCGCACTATGCCTTGGCCGGAGTGGGGCTGAGCCGCGCAGGGTTGGGGCCGCGCTATGCAGCTCAGGTCTGTTCCGGTGCTCCAGCCGGGACACAAGGACACAAGCACCACGCAACTCCCAGAAACCACGGCATGGCCCCGCTTTGGCTCCTATGCCCTCCAGTGGGAGCTGCAGGGGCGGTGCCTGAGGATGGGGCAGTGTGCAGAGCCACCTGGCCGCACCTCCGTGTAGGAGCCAGAGAAGGCACATGCCACTGCTTCCGGGAGCCACTTGAGATAAGTGCTGCTCGGAGCCTGCACCCCCTGAGCCTCTCACCGGGCCCCAATCCCCTGCCCCAGCCCTGATCCCCCTCCCACTCTCTAAACCCCTCGATCCCAGCCTGGAGCACCCTCCTACACCTTAAACTCCTCATCCTCATCCCCAGCCCCACCCCAGAGCCCGCACCCCCTCCCACACCTCAACCCCAATTTTGTGAGCATTCATGGCCCGCAGTACAATTTCTATTCACTGATGTGGCCCTCAGGCCAAAAAGTTTGTCCACCCTTGGTTTAGTTAGTCAAAAAGATCAAAAGCTGATTGATTCCAGTGTCTAAGTACCTTCACAGGGAGCAAATACTGTGTACTAAAGAGCTCTTCAATCTGGTGGAGAAAAGTAGAACAAGAACCAATGGCTGGAAGATAAAGCCAGACAAATTCCAATTAGAAATAAGGCACAGGTGATTAACCATTGTAACAAACTATCAGTAGAAATGATGGATTCAGCATCTCTTGATATCTCCAGCTCAAGCCTAGCTGCCTTTCTGGAAGATGCTTTAGTCAAAACACAAATTACTGGGCTGAGTCCAAGGGTAGCTGGGTGGAATTATTAACACATTGGCTGTGTTCTACAGGACATCAGACTACATGAGCTAATGATGCTGGTCACTTTTGACATTAACCTCTATGAATCTATGCAACCAAGCCAGCTGGAGCTCACTCAGATAGGACTGAGCTGAGGCTGGTGCACAGGAGGAGGTCTTGCTCCCACTCTGAGATTCAGTGAAGAGGGGCTTTTAGCTATCAGGTGGCAAATGGAGCCAGAAATCCCTTTTTCCCCCTGTGTTGCAGCTGGTTAACCCGGAGGCCACAAGCACCAGCTCACTGCCCATTTCTCCCAGGTGCAGGATGTGGCTGCAGTGAGCCTGGTGCTTGTGGCCTCCAGATTAACCAGCTGCAACATGTGTGCTGCACTGCACCGGGGGCAGCCCAGGCAACTTGGGCTAGAGTGACGGGGCCCATTTGCGGTCACAGGCTGCTTAGGTTTCCTGTGTCTGCCAGCTGCAGGCTGTGGAGTCTACATGTCCTGCATCCCTGAGTGCATGGGGGACAGTTCAGCCCTGAGAAGGGGAGCATGAGCCTGCGGGTTCCTGTGATCTGAGTGTGTGTGTTTTGGTTGTACCTGTGAGTAACTGAACAAGGTTGTTTCCTCATGTAGATCCCTAGTGGTGTCCCAGGAGGGACTGGAGGACTGCGCCCTGCTGGGGATCGAGGAGCTGAGCAAGGTGAGGTCTGGAGATGGGGAAGGAGACAGACTGAAACAAAACTTCAGCTGTGACTCAGAGGACCCATGGCAGTTTCATGCACCGAGTCTCTCTGGGAAGGCGGGAAGGCAGGAAGAGGATTGCCAGGGGAGGGCATACTGTGGATTTCCAGGAGACAGCGGGCCTAAGCCCCGCACATAGCTAAGGCCCTCCTCCTTAGCCGTTGGGATGGGCCAGGGAACTGGGGCCACAGCTGAACACTGGGGACAACAAACAAAAAAACAGGGATGGGAGTAAAGGTCACAGGGTGAAAATCAGGCAGTGCCCACTGCTCCCCAAAGGCATTCAAGGGGGCAGCAAGGCAGGGCACAGCGGAGGAAGGGCCAGAGCAGCTCTGGCTTCCTCTCTCTCAACTCTGCCTGGGCAGGGTCTCCCTCTTTCCCACTGCTCAGGCAGGGAGAGGAGGGGGCAGCAAAGTACAAGGTCACCTTGCCCACTCATCCCAGTGCCGGGGCAGCCCCTCTCCCCACCCCAGCGCAGTGCCAGGGCAGCCCCTCCTCTCACCCACACCATACTGAGTTCTCCCATTTTCTCCCCAGGTCTGTGAGGGGAAGAAAAAAGTAGTTTTCATTGGAATTTCATGTGGTTTTTCTGTAAGTATCCAATGGATTATTGCAAATTTGCTGGGAGCAGAGTGGATGCCTGGTACAGTCAGTGTTAGGAGGGGAAACAGAGTGGGTCCCTTTCATTGTCAGGGTGGGTGGGTATAGAGTGGGTGCCTGCCATTGTCGTGGTGCGGGTGCAGAGTGGGTGCCTGGTATAGTCGGGGTGGGGAGCTGCAGAGTGGATGATCACAGAAGGGGGTGACGAAGTGGATACCTGCCATAGTCAAGGTTTGGGAGGGGAGTGGGTGCCTGCCATGGTAGGGTGGCTTACTGGCTGTGGTACAATCAGTGCTCAGCATGGGGGACCGTTAGGGTGGGGATTGCAACTTGTCTTGGTTTGTACCCTTGGTTGGTCCCCTTTGTGGTAGCAGGCAGGGTGGACTCTGATCTGTGCTCAGCCTGGGGAGGGTAGTTAGGGGTCTCACTGACTCTGTTTGCTACAGGCCCCTTTTGTGGCAGGACAGCTGGACTTTTGCATGAATAACCTGGACATCTTCCTGCCAGTCCTGGTGGGATTCAACCCCGTCAGCATGGCCAGGTAACAGCCAGCATGGGAGCAGGGAAGGGGCACCGTGGGCTCAGTTGCTCCACCTGCCCTAGACAAGGGCCTACACCAGGCCCTAATGCTGGCATCTCCAGCCCAGAGCTTGAGTCCATCTCCAGTGAGAACCAGATCATGCTGAGGTGGAACCTGCCAGTCAGCCTCCCACGTTGTCTCACCCAGTTCCCTGAAAATCTACGCGGCCCCCTGGAGCAGGGTGGGAAGCCCCTGGCAGGGCTGAGGGCCCGGCCCTCTCACGGGGATGTCAGGCCTGGGGTTGGATGGGGAAGCCCCAGAGCAGGGCTGAGGGCCCGGCCCTCTCACGGGGATGTCAGGCCTGGGGTTGGATGGGGAAGCCCCAGACAGGGCTGAGGGCCTGGGGCTGGATGGGGAAGCCCCTGGCAGAGCTGAGGGCCCGGCCCTCTCACGGGGATGTCAGGCCTGGGGTTAGATGGGGAAGCCCCTGGCAGAGCTGTGGGCCTGGGGTTGGATGGGGAAGCCCCTGGCAGAGCTGAGGGCTGGGCCCTCTCACGGGGATGTCAGGCCTGGGGTTGGATGGGGAAGCCCCGGGCAGAGCTGAGGGCTGGGCCCTCTCATGGGGATGTCAGGCCTGGGGTTGGATGGGGAAGCCCCTGGCAGAGCTGAGGGCTGGGCCCTCTCATGGGGATGTAGGCCTGGGGTTGGATGGGAAGCCCCTGAGAGCTGAGGGCTGGGCCCCCCGGGGATGTCAGGCCTGGGGTTAGATGGGGAAGCCCCTGGCAGAGCTGTGGGCCTGGGGTTGGATGGGGAAGCCCCTGGCAGAGCTGAGGGCTGGGCCCTCTCACGGGGATGTCAGGCCTGGGGTTGGATGGGGAAGCCCCTGGCAGAGCTGAGGGCCCGGCCCTCTCCGGGGATGTCAGGCCTGGGGTTGGATGGGGAAGCCCCTGGCAGAGCTGAGGCCCGGCCCTCTCATGGGGATGTCAGGCCTGGGGTTGGATGGGGAAGCCGCAGGGCAGGGCTGAGGGCTGGGCCCTCTCTTGGGGATGTCAGGCTGGGATTGGATGGGGAAGCCCCTGGCAGAGCTGAGGGCCCGGCCCTCTCACGGGGATGTCAGGCCTGGGGTTGGATGGGGAAGCCCCGGGGCAGAGCTGAGGGCTGGGCCCTCTCATGGGGATGTCAGGCCTGGGGTTGGATGGGGAAGCCCCTGGCAGAGCTGAGGGCTGGGCCCTCTCACGGGGATGTCAGGCCTGGGGTTAGATGGGGAAGCCCTGAGGGGGCCTGGGGTTGGATGGGGAAGCCCCTGGCAGAGCTGAGGGCTGGGCCCTCTCACGGGGATGTCAGGCCTGGGGTTGGATGGGGAAGCCCCTGGCAGAGCTGAGGGCCCGGCCCTCTCACGGGGATGTCAGGCCTGGGGTTGGATGGGGAAGCCCCTGGCAGAGCTGAGGGCTGGGCCCTCTCATGGGGATGTCAGGCCTGGGGTTGGATGGGGAAGCCCCGGGGCAGAGCTGAGGGCTGGGCCCTCTCATGGGGATGTCAGGCCTGGGGTTGGATGGGGAAGCCCCTGGCAGAGCTGAGGGCTGGGCCCTCTCACGGGGATGTCAGGCCTGGGGTTGGATGGGGAAGCCCCGGGGCAGAGCTGAGGGCTGGGCCCTCTCTTGGGGATGTCAGGCCTGGGATTGGATGGGGAAGCCCCTGGCAGAGCTGAGGGCCTGGGATTGGATGGGGAAGCCCCTGGCAGAGCTGAGGGCCTGGCCCTCTCACGGGGATGTCAGGCCTGGGGTTAGATGGGGAAGCCCCAGGGCAGGGCTGAGGGCTGGGCCCTCTCTTGGGGATGTCAGGCCTGGGATTTGATGGGGAAGCCCCATTGTCTGGCTCAGGCCCAGGCCTGGTCACAGGGATGTTAGTCTCTGAGGCAGGGTGAGGTCCTTGTCCCAGGCTTGACTGCAGTAGGTCTCTCCTGCAGGAATGATAAGATCGAGGGCTGGCACTCTACTTTCCGCCAGGTGGCTGAGCGGATGCAGAAGCTGCAGGAGTCGCACAAAGCCTTTATCCTCAATCCTGCTGTGGGGGTAGGTGACAGGTTCCACCCGCTTTTTGGATCCTCTCCAGAATGCTGCCTGGAAATCCTCTTTGGGTTGGGCTCCTGCTCGGTGAAGGGCTGTCTCTAACGTTCAGCAAGGAGTTCTGATGAGACAGGGTCAGCAGGATCAGTTACAGAAGACTGGGGAGAAAGGGGCTGGAACTGAGAGAGAGCTCTGCAGATCCCTGGGGTAGAGGGCCAAGGCCTCTGCGATCAGAGCAGCCCAGCTCCTGCTCGGAGTCGACCTGTGGGGGTCTGGATTTAATATAGGTGAGTGCTGCGTCTGAAGAGGCTCAGGACTGGGGTTACACCTCACCCCATTGCCATGGGAATAGCACAGGACCAGAAGCTCAGGCAGAAGGGAGCTCCCACTGCTCTGTAGGCCTCCAGCATTTATTTGTTCCCCCTCTCATGCACAAAAGGTGCTTGGGGCTTTTGGGATCCCTGCACAGGAGCATAGTCAGGTGACAACAGGAACAGCAGGATGAGATGAGGCAGGCCAGGGCAGGAAGTGGGGTGAGCCAGGCCAATGGGAGCACTGCTGACGCTGGGAGGCAGCTCTGCCTTCAGCCTTTCAGCATTGCTCTTGTGATCTGTGTCTGTGCAGCAGGCAGGATGGGGAGGGGAGCTAGAGCTGTGTGTTGCAGTCACAGTAGGAGTTGAAGGGATTTGGCACTGTAACGGGGCCCTCCCCATCCCTGTCCTCCGATACCCCAGAAACTTCTCAGAATCTCTCGGTTGAGTGGCAACTTTGTGTGGTTTCTTTACATTCCCGCCACCAACCCCAATACAATCCCAGGCAGCAATATTATAGACAGGGCTTCTCACCCATTAGCTCTTTCCCTCAGCGCTGGGGAGGAACAGAGGTCTGTGAACAGACTGGACTTCGCTCCTCTCCCTCTCTCCCCCAGTACTGCCTGTCCTTTTTATACCCCTCAGCTAATGGACTAATTGGCTCATCCAGCCTCCCAGCCGGTTAGCTTACACATCCCCAGCAGTCTTTTGCAGGTGAGCTGACTGAGGCCCGGATTCCCAGTAGGGACAAGCTCCCAGCACTCTGGTCACAGGTACTTGTTCCAGCTCCATGAGAATTGCTGCCTGCAGGGACAGCTGTGATCTGCATGCAGAATGCACTGTGTCCCAGAAGCCCTGCCTCTGGGCTGGTCTCCCCAGTTGGACAAGCTGCCTATGAACATCTGCAGTGAGAGACTGAAACTCAGTGGTTTCTGGCCTCGGTTCAGTGTACCAGTATGTTCTAAGGAAAGCAAGGAGTGAGAGCAGCAGAATAAGGACAATGGATTTCAAAAAAGCCAATTTTAAGAACTTCAGATAACTGCTATGTAAGGTCCCATGGAAAGAAAATCTAAGGGATAAAGGAGTTCAGGAGAACTGGCAGTTTCTCCAGGAGACCATATTAAAGGCACAGTTGCAAACTTCCCATATCAAGGAAAGATAGGATGAATAATAAGAGGTCAGTATGGCTTCATCAGGAGCTCTTCAATGACCTGAAAACGAAAAAAGAATTCTACGTAAAAGGTCCGATTGCTAAGGAGGAGTACAAAAGAACGGCCTGGGCATGTAGGGACAAAAACAGAAAGGCTAAGGCACAAAATGCGTCATACGTAGCAAGGGACATAAAGGCAATAAGCAGAGGTTCTTTAAATACATGAGGAACAAGAGAAAGATGAAGGAAGATGTAGGTCCTCTCCTTAGCAGAGAAGGAGAGCTAATGACTGATGACATCAAGAAGGCTGAGGCATTTAATGCAAGATACTCAACACAATATTGCTGAGAACTCGTGGAGGATGGGTGAGGTCCCAGTGGACTTGAGAAGGGCAAACCTAATACCAATCTTTAAAAAGAGGAACAAAGAGGATCCCAGGAATTATAGATCAGTCAATCTAACTTTGATACCTGGAAAGATACTGGAACAAATTATTAAACAATCAGTTTGTAAGCACCTGGAGGATAATAGAATCATAGAATATCAGGGTTGGAAGGGACCTCAGGAGGTCATCTAGTCCAACCCCCTGCTCAAAGCAGGACCGATCCCCAATTAAATCATCCCAGCCAAGGCTTTGTCAAGCCTGACCTTAAAAACTTCTAAGGAAGGAGATTCCACCACCTCCCTAGGTAACGCATTCCAGTGTTTCACCACCCTCCTAGTGAAAAAGTTTTTCCTAATATCCAACCTAAATCTCCCCCACTGCAACTTGAGACCATTGCTCCTCGTTCTGTCATCTGCTACCACTGAGAACAGTCTAGATCCATCCTCTTTGGAACCCCGTTTCAGGTAGTTGAAAGCAGTATCAAATCCCCCCTCATCCTTCTCTTCCGCAGACTAAACAATCCCAGCTCTCTCAGCCTCTCCTCATAAGTCATGTGTTCCAGTCCCCTAATTATTTTTGTTGCCCACCTCTGGATGTTTTCCAATTTTTCCACATCCTTCTTGTAGTGTGGGGCCCAAAACTGGACACAGTACTCCAGATGAGGCCTCACCAATGTCAAATAGAGGGGAACGATCATGTCCCTCGATCTGCTGGCAGTGCCCCTACTTATACGTCCCAAAATACTGTTAGCCTTCTTGGCAACAAGGGCACACTGTTGACTCTCATCCAGCTTCTCATCCACTGTAACCTCTAGGTCCTTTTCCGCAGAACTGCTGCCTAGCCATTCGGTCCCTAGTCTGTAGCGGTGCATGGGATTCTTCCATCCTAAGTGCAGGACTCTGCACTTGTCCTTGTTGAACCTCATCAGATTTCTTTTGGCCCAAACCTCCAATTTGTCTAGGGCCCTCTGTATCCTATCCCTACCCTCCAACGTATCTACCACTCCTCCCAGTTTAGTGTCATCTGCAAACTTGCTGAGGGTGCAGTCCATGTCATCCTCCAGATTATTAATGAAGATATTGAACAAAACCAGCCCCGGGACCGATCCTTGGGGCACTCCACTTGATACCGGCTGCCAACTAGACATGGAGCCATTGATCACTACCCGTTGAGCCCGACAATCTAGCCAACTTTCTATCCACCTTACAGTCCATTCATCCAGCCCATACTTCTTTAACTTGCTGGCAAGAATACTGTGGGAGTCCGTATCAAAAGCTTTTTCTAAAGTCAAGGAATAACACGTCCACTGCTTTCCCCTCATGCACAGAGCCAGTTATCTCATCATAAAAGGCAATTAGGTTAGTCAGGCATGACTTGCCCTTGGTGAATCCATGCTGACTGTTCCTGATCACTTTCCTCTCCTCTAAGTGCTTCAGAATTGATTCCTTGAGGACCTGCTCCATGATTTTTCCAGGAACTGAGGTGAAGCTGACTGGCCTGTAGTTCCCAGTATCATCCTCCTTCCCTTTTTTTTAAAGATGGGCACTACATTAAGAATAGAAAAAGAGTTGGAAGCCAGTCTCAACCCCTGTCAAACACAATTCCAGTTAAATCTCCCAGAGCTTTGTCAACCTGACCAAAAACCTCTAAGGAAGGAGATACACACCTCCCTAGGTAACCATTCAGTGTTTCACCACCCTCATAGTGAAAAATTTTTCCTAATATCCAATCTAAACCTCCCCCACTGCAGCTTGAGACCATTACTCCTCGTACTGTCATCTGATACCATTGAGAACATCTAGAGCCATCCTCTTTGGACCCCTTTCAGGTAGTTGAAAACACTATCAAATCCCCCTCATTCTTCTCTTCTGCACTAAACAATCCCACTCCCTCAGCTCTCCTCTAACTCATGTGTTCCAGACCCCAAATCATTTTTGTTGCCCTTCGCTGGACTCTCTCCAATTTATCCACATCCTTCTTGAAGTGTGGGCCCAAAACTGACACAGTACTCAGATAGCCTCACCAATGTCGAATAGAGGGGAACATCCCCTTGATCTGCTCGCTATCCCCTACTTATACATCCCAAAATGCATTGGCCTTCTTGGCAACAAGGGCACACTGTACTCATATCCAGCTTCGTCCACTTCACCCCTAGGTCTTTTCGAGAACTGTGCCTAGCCATTCGGTCCCTAGTCTGCAGCTGTGATTGGTTCTTCCGTCCTAAGTGCAGACCCTGCACTTATCCTTATTGAACCTCATCAGATTTCTTTTGGCCCAATCCTCCAATTTGTCTAGGTCCTTCTGTATCCTATCCCTCCCTCCAGTATCTACCACTCCTCCCAGTTTAGTATCATCAAATTTGTGGAGTAATCACACATCTAGATCATTTATGAAGATATTGAACAAAACCCAGAATTGGGCCTCATGATAGGTGCCAACTAGACATGAGATTGATCACTACCCGTTGACCACAATCTAGCATTTCTACCCACCTTGTAGCATTCTCCACCCATACTTCTTAACTTGTGACAAGAATACTGTGGGAGAGTTCAAAAGTTTGTAAAGTCAAAACAATAATCCACTTTTCCTTCATCACAGAACCATAATCTCATCATAGAAGGGATTAGATTAGTCAGGATGACCTTCCTTGGTGAATCCATGTGTGTTCCTGATCACTTTCCTCTCATGAAGTGTCAGGATTGATTCTTTGAGGACCTGCTCCATGATTTTCCAGACTGAAGTGAGGCTGACTCTGTAGTTCCCAGGATCCTCCTTCTTCCTTTTTTAAAGATTGCACTACATTACCTTTTTCCAGTCATCCGGGACTTTTGCACGATTTTCAAAGATAATGAATCTCTGCAATACACATTCTTCACACTCTCATGAATGTCCCATGATTGTGATCCAGTTTTCTAAAAAGTCCCTAACCACCTCTATCTCCACAGACTCATCTCTTCCCCATTTTGTGATGCCCAGTAGATCTGGGAGTGATTGTTAGTGAAAAAGAGGCAAAAAAAGATTGAGTACATTATTTTCCACATCCTCTGTCACTAGTTTCCTCCCTCATTCAGTAAGGGGCCACACATTCCTTGGTTTCTTCTTGTTGAACATACCTGAAGAAACCTTCTTGTTACTCTTGACATCTCTGGCTATGCACTCCAGGTGGATTTGGCCCTCCTGATAACATTCCTACATGCCCTAGAATATTTTTATACTCTTCCCTGGTCATATGTCCAACCTTCCACTTCTTGTAAGTTCTTTTATGTTTAAGATCCGCTAAGATTTCACCATTAAGCCAAGTGGTCTGCATATTTACTATTCTTTCGACTCATCGGGATGGTTTGTCCCTGTAACCTCAACAGGATTCCTTGAAATACAGCCAGCTCTCCTGGACTCCTTTCCCTTCAAGTTAGTCCCCCAGGGGATCCTGGCATCCGTTCCTGAGGGAGTCGAAGTCTGTTCCTGAAGTCCAGGGTCCGTATCGCTCTTACCTTCTTCCTGTGTCAGATCCTGAACTCAACCAACTCATGTCACTCTCCCAGATTCCCATCACTTTGCTTCCCCCACTAATTCTACCCGTTTGTGAGCAGCAGTCAAGAAAAGCCCCTATTGGTCCTCGAGCACTTGCAAAATTGTCCCTACTTCAAAACTTCCTGGATTGTCTATGACCGTGTATTGCTCTCCCAGAGATATCAGGAAAATTAAAGTCACCCATGAGAATCAGGGCATGATCCAGTAGCTTCCGTGAGTGCGAAGAAAGCCTCATCTACCTCATCCCCCTGGTCCGGTGGTCTATAGCAGACTCCCACCACTACATCACTCTTGTTGCACACACTTCTAAACTTAATCCAGAGACACTCAGGTTTTTCTGCAGTTTCGTACGAGCTCTGAGCAGTCATACTGCTCCCTTACATACATGCTACTCCCCCACCTTTTCTGCCCTGCTTCCTTCCTGAACATTTATAACCATCCATGACAGTACTCCAGTCATGTGAGTTATCCCACCAAGTCTCTGTTATTCCAATCACTCATAGTTCCTTGACATCACCAGGACCTCCATTCTCCCTGTTGTTTCCAAGGCTTTGTGCATTTGTATATAAGCACTTGAGATAACCTGTTGATGCCCCTCATTCCCAGTATGAGGAAGCCCTCCCCTCACAGACATTCCTGCTGTGCTTCCTCCCGTATCCCCTCCCACTTACCTCAGGGCTTTGGTCTCCTTCCCCCGGTGAACCTAGTTTAAAGCCCTCCTCACTAGGTTACAGCTGCTCGCGAAGATGCTCTTCCCTCTCTTCGTTAAGTGGAGCCTCTCTGCCTAGCACTCCTTCTTGAACACCATCCCATGGTCGAAGAATCCAAAGCCTTCTCTCCGACACCACCTGCGTAGCCATTCGTTGACTTCCACATTCGCTCCCTACCTAGCTTTCTTCCACGGGAGGATGGACGAAACACCACTTGACCTCCAACTCCTTTATCCTTCTTCCTAGAGCCACATAGTCCGCAGTGATCCGCTCAAGGTCATTCTTGGCAGTATCATTGGTGCCCACGTGGAGAAGCAGGAAGGGGTAGCGATCCGAGGGTGATGAGTCTGCATCTCTTATGCATCTTAGCCCGAAGAAGACTAGCCTTTTTCCAGTCCAGGACCTCCCCCGATTGTTATGTGTTTTCAAAGATAATGGACAATGGCTCTGCAATCACATCCGCCAACTCCTTTAGCACTCTCAGATGCAGTGCATCCGGCCCCATGGACTTGTGATTGTCCAGCTTTAGTCTTGAGAAAAGACAACTGAGGGGGACCTGATAGTCTTCAGATATGTTACGGGCTATTACAAAGAGGATGGTGATCCATTGTTCTTCACATCCATTGAGAACAGGACAAGAAGTAATTGGCTTCTCTGCAGCAAGGGAGATTTCGGTTAGTTAGAAAGTTTTTCCTAAGGCCTATAAGGGTAGTTACGTTCTGGAATATGTTTCCAGGGGCGGTTGTGAAATCTCCATCACTGGAAGTTTTTCAGAACAGGTTGGACAAACACCTGTCAGGGATGGTCTATATGGTGTTCTTGGTGCTGCCTGAGGGCAGGGTCTTGACTTGATGACAACTCAGATCATTTCCAGCCATACATTTATATAAGTCTAGGGAGTACCTGCCCGGGATGGGGCTGCTTGGAAGATAGTCTTCGATCCCACAGGATGGGGTGCACAGGGAGTGGGGTTTAATTTTCCAGTACACTCAGGATGGGGGCTTGGGGAGTGGGTTTGAGCCCCAGTGCCCATGTGTCATTCAGTTCTCTCTCTCCCACTGCCTCAGCCTGAAGGCATCAGTGGCTCCTCACGGATGAAGGGTGGGAGTGCCACCAAGATCCTGCTAGAGACATTGTTGCTGGGAGCACACAAGACAGCCTCCAAGGACACTGACATCTCAGAGAAGTAAGTCTCCGGTTACAGAGCTAGTAGGCTACACTAGGCAGGCAACCTCCCCCCAGTGCTGGAGTCCCCTGCTTGGCTGGGTACCCAGCTGGCCTATTGTTATGGTCGGGGATTGGCTGGGAATATTGATGTCATGCTGGGACATTGGGACAGGACCTCCGCACTTGACTGCTCCTGGTCAGACTGTGAATGGCATTGGGGCAGACAGGAGTTTGGCATGCACAGGTCCCATGAGTCCTCTCTATGTTCTTCCAATGTCTAGGTGCCTCCTGGAAATCCTGAGGACATATGAACGTGCTCACAAAGTCACCTATGCCCAGAGCAAAAAGATTGCTGCCTTGATGAAGCAAGCAGGCACCAGGTGAGGTGGGCAGGCATCTCCATTTCTGCTGGAGAAGTGGGGGCTGGGGATAGAAGGAAGGGGGAGAGGAAAGACGTGTAGGGTGCAGGACTACTCAGTGAACAGTGCGTGGGGGTGAGATGTGGTATATCAGATCCTCTGAGGCCCCCTGCTGGAGGCCTCATGGCCCTGGCACACCCTGCCCCCCAAAAAAGGCAGTAGAGAAGTCCTCCAAGCTACCTAGAGTGGCTGTGTAGGACACAGCCCAGCAGCCTAGTATAAGAAGAGTTGCAGGGCAGAGGCAGTTCAGTTCCTTCTGGAGCTGTAGGGGTGCGGGTGGTGCATTCCTGGCTGGATGAGCTACAGAACCCCAGACAGGGCAGCGCTGCCAGAAGCCGGGGAGAGCAAGAAGGAGCCCTGAGCTGCTTGCTGGGACTCCATTAGGACAAGACCCTGAGGTAAGGGTGAAGATGGCATGGGGCCACGGGGAAGTAGCTCAGGGAATTAGAGAAGCCATGCAATATAATTAAAGGGACACAGCAGATGGCTACACTCTACAGGGTCCCTTGGCTGGAACCCAGAGTAGTGGGTGGGCCCAGGTCTCCCCAACCCTGCATTAGCCACTGTGGGGAAGTGGCCTGGGCAGTGAGACAGCCCAGAAGGGGAACTGAATTATAGTGGCCCAGCTGGAGAGCTGTAGCCAGGAAGCCCAAGAGGGCTAAGACATTGTCTCCAGGGAGGGAGCTCTGGGGCACTGTTCTATCCCAGAGCAGGTACAATCAGAGAGAGCAGCACACACACTTGGCCAAGGGGATGCTCACGAGGGGTGAATGCACCCTGTTACAGGGGGGGAAAAGCCAATTAATACCCACTAACCCCCCGTGCTGTGCTCTGCCCTGACCCCGCAATAACCCCCTGTGCTGTGCTCTGCCCCTACCCTCTGAGCATCCTGAGTAACCCCTCTGTGCTGTCCTTTCCCCAGCTTGCAGAAGAAGGCCTGTGTGTTCATGGTGGGCTGGCACACGCTGGGCATCATTGCCATCATGGATGGTGCTGAATGCATCCCAACGTTTGGGGCAGGTAAGGGAACTGGCTGTGTTGGAAAGAGCCCTGATGCCTCAAATAAAGGGTCTCTGTGATGTGAGAGAGGTGTCCAAGCTCCTTGCTCTGAGCTCCCCCTGCACCAGGCTTTTGATATATCATAGAGTCAATTGCTTGACCACACTTTGGTTCATTATAAAATATATTCAAAAAACCAAATAACCAATATCAGGTTTATTGCTCTAAGCAAATAATAATATAGTGTCATCATGCCTCTGTGGGTCACAAGTGAGAATACCAGATGCAGGACAAACTGGTGAGAAACAGGGCGGACATACCCCAAAACTGGTGGTTATTCTCCCATAAGATATACCAATCCAGTAATACAAGTAAACTTCTGTCTCACCACACTGGCTAACCAGAAGTCAGAAATGCAGTCTCCTTAAGTATCCCGGTCCTTGTTTCACCACCCAGACACTAGACTTAATGATGATTGGTTATTTAAAAGCAGTTTAATCAACCAAAGGGTTTTTCTGATCCCAAAGAACCAGCCACACACCCAGGTCAATATATAACTTGGATCTTACCCAATAATCATGCTATTGCCAATCCTTTGGCAATAGCGTGATTATCTAATATCTAATAGTCTAATAATCCTTTAGATATTATATAGTATTTAATATCTAAAGGATTATTTATAAGAAAAAAGAAAGAGGTGAAAGTTAAAATTGGTTAAAGGAATCAAATACATACAATAATGGCAAAGTTCTTGGATCGGGCTTGAAGCACTGATGGAATAAACTGCTGGCTTGTTAAGTCTCTGGTTGCTTCCAAATGACTGGAAGGTCCTCGGTCCCTTGAAGTGGGTTCTAGCCCACGAAAGCTTATGTCCAAATAAATTTGTTAGCCTCCAAGGTGCCACAAGGACTCCTCGTTGTTTTTGCTGATACAGACTAACACGGCTACCACTCTGAAACCCGTTAATATTAAGTCCATAGTCCAGAGATCAGAGCAGGAAAAAGGCAAAATGGAGATGTTTCCAGGGCCTTTTGTAGCTTCTGCCATGTGGAGGGAAAATCATTGTTCCAAGTAAAGCCCTCAGCACAGTTTGTGGGAAAAGTACAGGCACACGAGATGGAGTTCATTACCACATAATCTCGTCACATGCCCTTGTATTCTTCAATGAGTCATAGCAGCCATTACCCTACTCTCTTTAGAACATCCTCAGGAAAGTCCATCAGTGGAGATAAGCTTCTTCCATGGCCCACTGTGTTAATTGATGGGCCGTCAGCTTGAATAGTCCATTCACAATGTGCTGACTAGACTGGATGTAAACTACTGTGTGGATATTACCATGGGAGCAAACGCATTTGAAATACAAGTACAATAGTCAATATTTGTAACTTCAGAGACAAAAATGATACATGCAAACAAATAGGGTAATAACATTCAGTAAACCATAACTTTTCCATTGACACTTTACATGACATATTTTGTACAAGATTTGTTGTAATTATATAGCAGTGGTAGCAACAGCGTTCTGCATGGTCCTATTTTAATCATACAACATCACATATAAGTACAGGAAAAAAGTTCAATCTGATACCAGTCTCCAGGAAGCTGTTGTGTACAGTGTTGTTACGGTCACCTTGCACAGAAGGTGTACTCCAAAAGTTACAACCCTAACGCCATTTTTATACTCTGCCTGTTTACAAGTAAAAGGTATTGTGTACATCATCTGAAATTAGATTTAACCAATCAGTTTACCACCTTGTGTTTCTGGTATCATGATGTATACCTTATCTTTGTTCTGAACACATGCATTTCAGGTACCAAGGGGCATGAAGGCACCTCCTATGTTTGTACCAGGGTAGACCATTCATGTATATTGTCCTTTCCCTTTGGGACATTCCAGTCTTAGCCTGTGAGCGTAACATCCTACCAGGTGCTATGGAAAGACACTCATATGTCCTGATCCTGACAGTTTTCCTTTCTACTTAAACCAAAGCTTATTTCAGCTAATGCAAAGTGTTATGGATACTTGACATCGGTGAACAGAATTGTGGGGCAAGTATAATACAGTCAGTTAACATAACTTCCCAACACTTATACTAACTATGCCTAACATAGCATGTATTGGTTACCACAGCTTCATGAACAATTGCCTAGGTTCTAGCTCTGAGACCCCTTGACCCCCAGCCCCCAGGGAGTCTGCCGAGAGACTCCTGCACTCAGCCTCCAAGGACCCAGCAAGGAGACCCAGCTTAGGGATGCCGTCCCCCACACCCAGCCCTTGGGGATCCAGCTTGGGGATATCTTGCCCCACAAAGGCCCTCTAAGCAGGATTCCCAGGGTCTGTGGGGCAAAGGTTCTCTGTTCTGGATCCCTGGGGACGGGAGGGCCAAGGGGTCTCTGAGCAGATACCTGGGGGCCAGGGGTCTCTCTGAGCAGGATACCTGCAGGTGGGATGCGAGAGTCTCTGAGCTGAATCCTGGGAGCTGGGGGTCAAAGGGTCTGCAAGCAGGACTCCCAAAGAATTGGGGGGAAGGGTTCTCTGAGCAGGTTTCCTGGGGGCTGGAGAGCAAGGAGTGCCCAAGCTGGATCCCCCGGGATCAGAAGGAAATTTCTCTCTTTGCTGGATCCTGAGGTCTCCAAGCTGGATCCCTGTAGGCTGGGGGGAAAAGGGGGTGTCTCAGCTGGATCCTGAGGGGCTGGGGGCAAGATATCCCCAAGTTGGATCCCTGGGGATCCTGCTCAGAGGCTGTTTGGCCACCAGGGATCCTGCTTGGAGATTCCTTGACCTCCAGCCTCTGGGATCCTGCAAAGAGACCCCTTGGCCCACAGCCCTGTTCCCTCTACCTCTGGGTCACCCACTTGCTTTCCTACACAGACTACAATGACGTGCGGGGCTTTCTGATTGGGGATCGCAGTGAGATGTTCAACAAGGAGGCAGATCTGATAATGCAGGTAGGAGCTGGGCTGCAGTACGGGTGACGAACAAGGCCCTGGCTGTCAGGGTTACTCTAGGTGTGTTTTGGGTTCGTTGAAGCAGATTCTGCAGGAGATGAGATCCTGCTTGGCCTGGCGGGAGGGGGCTGGGGTGGTTGGGGAGTTCTAGCTGATTGTGAGCCCTCCCTTGGGTAGGTTCTAGGCGGGAAGTAAGTCCTGGGAGTAGTTCTGACCATGAGTCCGGGGCTGGACTCGGCTGGGGTGGCTACCAGGCAGGGTCTGATCTGAGGTAGCTTATGGGTGTGGTGAACCTCATGGTCTGGGATGGGTGCTGGGTGGGGAGTGGGTGCTGGCTTGGGGCGCATACTGTGGGGGCATGGTGGACTCTGAGCGTGTGGTGATTCTTTGTGCCCATGCCTCTGGTTCCCGGAGCCTCCCAGGCTCATGGGCAGACAGGGACTGATACCCCTGTGCTCCCTGGTATCAGCGAAGGGAGGAGAGTGCTGCTATGTCGGGGAGCAAAGGGGGAGTCCCCATCGTGGGGAAGGAGGCCCCAGTGTTAGGGACTGGAGGTGGAGTCCAGATGTCAGGGAGGATGAGGGGCCTGGTCTCAGGGTATGTGGGGAAACCTGGCTGGAGAGGGATGCATGGGGTCCTGGTTTGGGGGAGGGCAGGTGGAAGGTCCCAGTGGCAGGGTGTGGAGGGGGGACCCTGATGTTATGGGGGGGGCATGGGGCCTTGGTGTCAGTAAGATGGGGGGACCTGGAGTAGGGCAGGAGAGAGCCAGGGAAGTCCCAGTGTTGTGAAGGGGATGGGGTCTCCCATGTTTGGGAAGGGAGGAGAGGGCTCTAATGTTGGGAATGGAAGGTAACCCTAGTGTCTGGGAGAGAAGGAGGGGGCTCCAGTGAAGGGGTGGGTAGGGCGGCCCATGTGTCAGAGAGTTTAGCGGGAGCCCTGGCATCATGCTAAACAGGCTCCCTTTCTCTGGCAGGGCCCACAATTTGCCTTCTCTCAGGAGGACTTTGTGAAGACGATCCTTCCATCACTGACAGAGCTTGATACTGTTCTCTTCCTCTTCACACTGGATGGTGAGGAGTGGCTGGGAGCTGAGGGAAGGGGTCAGCACTAGTTGGGGGGGGGGGGAAGGAAGGAGCTGTTGTTCCCCCTGCTGGGCACTACCCTCTGCTGAGTGATCATGTCAGCCTCTTGCTGTGATTTATCTCGCCTCACCTCTCCCTAGTATGCTGAACGATTGAAAAGTTTGGGGTTGTTGTTACCTTGGAAAAAGACAAGTAAGAGGGAACACGATAAAAAAAATTATGAAAAGTATCTAAAACAATGCAGGGTCTAGAGATGGGAGATCAAGAGTATCTGTTCTCCCTGTCTCATAAGACAAGAATGAGGGGGAAGCTCACTGGGACTGAAAGGCAGCAAAGTAAAAACTGATCAAAGGAAATATTTTCCCACAAAGGCACAAGGGGCTTGTGGAACTCCCTGCCACATGACATAACAGACTAAGAGCCTGGCAGGATTCAGAGAGGGGTTAGACGTTCCTATGGGCATGAAGAATATCCAGAATTATCAGAGAAAATACAATACATATTTTTTAAACATGGGAGACCAGAATTGCACATGGTATTCCAGATGAGATCTCACCAGTGCCTTGTATAATGGTACTAACACTTCCCTGTCTCTACTGGAAATAGCTTGCCTGATGCATTCTAAGACTGCATTAGCTTTTTTCATGGCTGCATCACTTTGGCAGCTCTTAGGCATCCTGTGATTAACCAATACACCCAGGTCTTTCTCCTCCTCCATCACTTCCAACTGATACATCCCCAGCAAAAATTCTTGTTAGTCCCAAAATGCATGACCTTGCACTTATTTAAATTTCATCCCATTTCTATTACTCCAGTTTTCAAGTTCATCCAGATCTTCTTGTATGATAATCGTGTCCTCCTCCATATTGGCAATACCTCCCAACTTTGTGTTATCCACAGATTTTATTAGCACACTCCAACTTTTTGTGCTAAGGTCAGTAATAAAAAACGTTTGGTCCCAAAACCAATCCTTGAGGAACTCTACTAGTAACCTCCTTCCAGCCTGACAGTTCACCTTGCAGAATGACCCATTGTAGTCTCTCCTTTAACGAGTTCCTTATCCATCTTTCAATTCTCAGATTAACCCCCATCTTATCCAATGTAACTAATAATGTCACTGCAGTCTAGATCTGTCATGGCAGAGCCAATCACACTGGGTCCTTTGCTGAGCTACAGGCAAACCAGGCCTGTTTGTGTTGTCTGGTAGAGGGGTGCAGCTGTTCTCTGATGTACCTCAGCAACAAGGCTTGGGAGGGAGTCCATGGACCTGTTACCCTCTTACCCTGGAGTTGTAGCAAAGAAAGTGAATGAGACAGAAGTAAGGTGAAAAGTATAGGCTGGGATGTGTATGTGTGTGTAAACATGTCTCTTGCATGTTGGTATGGTGATTTGGCTGATGTGCAAAGGACTCTTGACTCTGACTAGCTCTGGATCTTCCTGAATGACTGTCCAGAGCCTGGTTACCCCAGTCTTATGCTCCCCCTTGCTTTAAGATGACCTCACAGAGGTGGAGAAGCTTGTGGTTCAGGTGAAGGAGAAGACATCAAATGTCCAAGCACTTTCTCATGCCACTGTTGGGCAGTACCTTCCGGTGAGTAGAGAAGGCTCTTTGTCTCCATCCCAGGTGAGGGAACGGTCCTGTGGGAAATGGAGCTTGTGCTCATGTAATTAGACTGTACCCTGGTGCACGCCTAGAGGGGCAGGGTTGGGGTTGCCTTCACTCTGGAATTCCTTAATTCCTTAACTGCTGAGGGGGAAGGGAGTGAGTCTTGCCCCATGGTGGCACTGGGTGCCCCTGGAGCTACTCTAAGTTGCACCAAGGCCACACTGCCCCCAACCAGCCCTAAACCTCAAAGGTCAAAGAAGAACAAAAAAAGCCATCTGCAGCCTATACTTATCAACAAGTTACGTTCCTATCTAATAAGGTATTTCTCACCCAATGGTTAGTTTGTCCAGCGCTTGTCCCCACTGACACAGTCCCCTTCCCTAATGGATACCTACTTGGGACAATCGTCTGCTCTTACAGTCTTACCCCAGGGGGCCCACTCTCCCCAGAACTCTCGGTTTGGCTTTGTAAATCTCCAGCCTGTATCTACTCCAGACAGCAAACACAGGCTGTCTGATGGGTGTTCATTGTTCTCCTGTTTGGGTCAGCTCTGAGACTGCCCTCCCTCGAGAGCTAGATTTCACTCCCAACAGATTTAGAACACAATGTCCTGTGTTAGCTAACTCTAAAATTGTTTCCCATACAAACATCTCATAATAACCAGGACAATCAGCTAGAGCTTAGCTTTTGTCAGACCAAACACAACTCCCTTCGGTATAATATTGAGAAAACGGTGGGACTCAGTATCCCTGTCAGGACATGCTTGGGCACATCTGTCACAACAAGATTTCTGTTAGTATCTTTATCCCCACCAGGCCTCCCTCAAGAAGCTGTTTCCTTGCATCATGAGCATCATGTGGCCCATCCTGTTCCTGGAGTATGAGGGGAATTTTATCCAGGTAATGCATGACAAACCTGTTTGGATCCTGAGGTCGATTCCTAGCAGGGTGCCGACTGACTGGACTTTTGTGATTTCTGAGGTAAGTGAGGGGTGGCTGCAGGGCCGTGGCTCGCCCTGCGGGGAGGCGGGCCCGGCTGCTGCAGGGCCGTGGCTCGCCCTGCGGGGAGGCGGGCCCGGCTGCTGCAGGGCCGTGGCTCGCCCTGCGGGGAGGCGGGCCCGGCTGCTGCAGGGCCGTGGCTGGCTTCCTCTGGCTGGCAGTTTGTGGCTGCCTAGTTCACGGGGGTCTGTTTTTCTGTATTTCACACAGAAGTTCCAGAGGGAGCTCAGCACCAAGTGGATCCTCAACACAGTCAGCACCGGGGCCCATGTCCTCAAGGGCAAAATTCTCCACAACTACATGGTGGACCTGAGAATCAGCAACTCCAAGCTCTTCTGGAGGGCGCTGTCCATCCTGCAGGTACTGAGGCCCAAGTCAATGGCCTAGCGAGGGAATAAGAAGGTAGCAGCATTACCAGTTATTACTTCAGAGTGTAGGGGGAGGCCCCAGTTATGAGAAAGGCAGGAAGCAAGGTCAATAGCTAAGTGGGGCGGGGGGGGGGAGGAGGGAATCCTGGTGTGGCCCTTCTCTGGACATTGGCACTGCCCCCAGTGGGACCTTTTCATGGCCAGGCAGAGCACCACAGCCCAGTAGCTGACCCTCCCGTCCTCCACCTCCCCCATCCCCTGTACCATAGCTGGGATCCTAATTCTGAGCATGAGAGAATCTCATCACCAAGATGCAGCCTTTGCAACAGTGCACCAAAGTGTACTGCTAACCTGCTTTGTCCCATAGGTGGAAGTATATGGCCCACTATTTACATGGGGTAACTGGGGGAGAAGCCCAGCAGTATGAACATGGTGAGCATGTACCAGGCCATTATAGAACATGTGTTGGTGCCCCTCAAGCCGTCTCCTTGCTGTGCCGTGCTCTGAGGCAGATTGTGAGAGACAGCCAGGATGTTGGCTGATGTCGCATGTTGCTGGAGCTTGGTGGTCACTACTGTCTCAATTACTGGGCCTGGGAATGGGAGGTTGGAGATGGGACAGAAGTTGAAAAGGTCTCAAGGTTGCGTTTTGGCATTTCTCAGGGAGCTGGTAAGTGTTTCTCCCTGCCTACTCCGGTTAGTAGTGGGCATAGCTCTTTTATCATTCAGGAAGGGCAGGGATCCATTGCACTGGTTGTGGCTCTAATATTTTTCTGGGCTTCCTGGACTTCAGCTAGTGTGATGGGGAGGGTGGATGGATAATAGGATCTAGCTGGGGTTTTCTTGCCCAGTTATCTGTAACCTGGGCCTTTCTCTGTGCTGCCCCTGCCCAGCTAGCGTCCACACACATGTGCATGTACACACCCCCTGTCAGGGTTCCCTCCCCACTCTGAACTCTAGGGTACAGATGTGGGTACCCGCATGAAAGACCCCCTAAGCTTATTTCTACCAGCTTAAGTTAAAAACTTCCCAAGGCACAAATCCTTCCTTGTCCTTGGATGAGTACTGCTGCCACCACCAAATGAGTTAGACAAAGATTCAGGAAAAGGACCACTTGGAGTTCCTGTTTCCCCAGAATATTCCCCCAAGCCCCTTCACCCCCTTTCCTGGGGAGGCTTGAGAATAATCTACCAACCAGATAGGTAAACAAGGTGAGCACGGACCAGACCCTTGGGTTTTTAGGACACTAAAAAACAATAAGATTCTTAAAAAACAGAACTTTATTATAAAGAAAAAAAGTAAAAAGCACCTCTGTAAAATTAGGATGGAAGGTAATTTTACAGGGTAATAAGACTTAAAACACAGAGGATTCCCCCGTAGGCACAACTTTAAAGTTACAAAAAACAGGGATAAACCTCCCTCTTAGCACAGGGAAAGTTTACAAGCTAAAACAAAAGATAATGTAACACATTCCTTGCTATTACTTACTATTTTTGTAATATTAGATGTATCATTTCAGTAGGAGCTGGATTACTTGGTTGGTCTCTCTCTGTCTCAGAGAGAACACACACAGAGCACAAAAACAAAGCCTCTTCCCCCCCCCCCCATTTGAAAGTATCTTCTTTTCCCATTGGTCCTTCTGGTCAGGTGCCAACTAGGTTAATTGAACTGATTAACCCCTTACAGGTAAGGGGATTCTGTACCTCTGGCCAAGAGGGATTTTATATTACTGCATACGTAAAGGTTGTTACCCTTCCCTTTATATTTATGACATGCCCCCCCAAATCACAGATGGTGCGGGACAGCCTGTTCCACACTGGCTGTGATTTCTTCCTGGAGCTCTAGGAGAAAACAGAGTTAATAAGACACATGCACCTTTAGATATACTGTATAAAAACGAACAATATTTTTCACATTTTAAGGACGATTTTAACCAGTTGATTCTGGGAAATGTCCATAGGAGAGTGCATCAGCCACTTTGTTAGAAGCTCCTGAAATGTGTTGTATTTCAAAATCAAAATTTTGGAGAGCTAAGTTCCACCGAAGAAGTTTATTACTGTCCTTGACAGTATGAAGCCACTTTAGCGCAGCATGGTCAGTTTGCAGGTGGAAACGCCGCCCCCAAACGTATGGGCATAACTTTTTGAGAGCATACACAATGGCGTAACATTCCTTTTCGCTGATTGACCAGTGGCTTTCCCTCTCAGTTTTTTGCTGAGAAACACGACAGGATGGAATTTTTGATCAGGTCCTTCCTGCATTAAAACTGCTCCCACACCGCGCTTGGATGCATCTGTGGTTACTAGGAAAGGTTTGTTAAAGTCTGGGGCCCTTAGCACAGGGTCAGACATGAGTGTTGCTTTAAGCTGGTTAAAGGCCTTCTGACACTCTTTTTAGTCCACTGCACTGCATTTGGCTGTTTCTTTTTGGTCAAGTCTGTCAGTAGGGCAGCAATTTGGCTGTAGTGCGGTACAAATCGCCTGTAATATCCGGCCAAGCCTAAGAAGGATTGGAACTGTTTCTTTGACTTTGGGACAGGCCACTTTTGGATAGCATCCACTTTGGCCTGTAGAGGGGTTGATAGTTCCTTGACCCACCTGGTGTCCAAGGTAAGTCACTCTGTTTAGGCCTATTTGACACCTTTTAACCTTAACAGTTAGTCCTGCCTCCCTTATGCACTCAAAGACTTTTTGCAGATGCTTCAGATGTTTTGCCCATGAATCAGAAAATATGGCCACATCATTAAGGTAGGTGACTGCAGATTTTCCCAATCCCACTAGGAGACTGTCTACAAGTTTCTGGAAGGTGGCGGGTGCATTCCGCAGCCCGAAAGGGAGCACATTAAATTCATACAGCCCGACCTGTGTGGTGAAGGCTGACCTTTCCTTGGTGGATTCATCTAGCGGTACCTGCCAAGGTGTGGATTGCACTCTCAGCAAATTTGGATAAGTCCAAGGTAGACATGAACTGGGCACATCCCAGTTTCTCCAGTAGCTCATCTGTGCGTGGCATTGGATAGTTGTCTGGGCGAGTTGCAGCATTTAGCTTACGGTAGACCATGCAAAAGCGTATCTCCCCATCTGGTTTGGGAACTAAAACTGCTGGAAATGCCCATGCACTGTTAGAGGGGCACATTACACCCATCTGTAGCATGTCCTGGATCTCCCGTTCTATAGCTGTTTTGGCTTGAGGAGACACCCGGGAAGGTTGGGCTTTAATTGGGCGAGCATGTGTCAATGGAGTGGTATGCCCGTTCGGTCTGTCCTGGGGTGGCTGAGAACATCGGTGTGAAGCTAGCGCACAGCTCCTTGATCTGCTGTTGCTGCCTACATCCGAGGGTCATAGAGAGATTCACCTCTTCCACACCACCGTTACTTTTTCCTTCATAGTAGACACCTTCAGGCCATTCAGCGTCCTCTCCTCTCTGGGCTGTAAACTGACAAACCTTTAATTCTTTGGAATAAAAGGGCTTTAGAGAATTAACATGGTACACTTTAGGGTTTAGGTGGGGGAATGCTATGAGATAGTTAGCTGCTCCCAGGCGCTCTTGGACCGTAAATGGCCCTTGCCATGACGCTTCCATCTTATGGGCCTGGAGCACCTTCAAGACCATGACCAGGTCCCCTACTTTGAAGGAACGCTCTCTGGCATGTTTATCATACCAGGCCTTTTGCTCTTCCTGAGCATCTGTTAGGTTTTCTTTAGCAAGGGCTAAAGAGTCTCAGAGGGTGTTTTGTAGGTTGTTTACAAAGTTTCAAATGTTAGTTCTTGGAGAAGGCGTAAACCCCTCCCATTGCTGCTTCACCAACTGTAATGGCCCCTTAACCTTGCGGCCATACACATTTTCAAATGGTGAAAACCCTAAACTGGGATGTGGTACAGCTCTGTAGACAAAGAGCAACTGCTGTAACACTAGGTCCCAATGGTTGGAATGCTCATTTACGAATGTACATATCATGGCCCCCAAAGTTTCATTATATTTCTCCACCAGGCCATTTGTTTGATGGTGGTAAGGAGTGGCAACCAAGTGATTTACCCTATGAGCTTCCCAAAGGCTTTCCATAGTTCCTGCCAGGAAATTAATTCCTGCATCTGTGAGGATGTCGGAGGGCCAACCTACCCTGGCAAAAATGTCTGCTAGTGCCTGGCACACACTTTTAGCCCTGGTGTTGCTTAGAGCTACTGCTTCCGGCCATCAGGTGGCAAAATCCATGAAAGTCAGTATCTACTGCTTTCCCCTGGGAAGGACCCAGAATATCCACAGCTACTTGCTGAAATGGAACCTCAGTTCTTCACTGGATAGTGGACCTCGACTTGGTCCCTCAGGAAGCGATGCGGGGGATGGGGCTGGTTCCGGGGACAGTGACCCGATCTCCGCAGGTGCACTTGGTTGGGGTTCAGGCTCCGGTTGAGCTTCTTGTGCAGGTTTAGCTGCTGCTACCAAGGCGGGCTCAGTGGGGCCCTCTGGTGTTGGGGTTGCAGACGGGGTTGCAAGCGCTGGACTCAGTGCTGGCAATGGTTTTGGTGCTGGTTGCTCTGCCGGTTCTGGTTCTGGGTCTGGCTCTGGCTGGGTCTCTGTGACTGGGTCCACTACTGCTGTCGCAGATGTTTGCCTGGGGGTCCAGTTCCACCACCTCAGTCTGGGTCTCTGGTATCACAGACTGGGCCCTTGTCAAAGGCTCAGGAACAGAGCTAGGCATGACAGCTTGCTTAGCCTGGCTGCAGGTGACCATTCCCACCCTCTTAGAATCATAGAATATCAGGGTTGGAAGGGACCTCAGGAGGTCATCTAGTCCAACCCCCTGCTCAAAGCAGGACCAATCCCCAATTAAATCATTCCAACCTAGGGCTTTGTCAAGCCTGACCTTAAAAACTTCTAAGGAAGGAGATTCCACCACCTCCCTAGGTAACGCATTCCAGTGTTTCACCACCCTCCTAGTGAAGAAGTTTTTCCTAATATCCAACCTAAACCTCCCCCACTGCAACTTGAGAC